TGTCATGGTGCAGCAGTGAGGGATGATGGGAGTTGTAGTCCTCGTCCTTCAGTGTTGATGGGATCTAAAACAAGCAGCTGATTCCCTCCAGTAGAAACAGTGAATGAAGCAGCTTCATGTTAAACTCATGTTTCTCTGACTCGTCTCTGAGGAGTCGAGCTGCCGCTAACGCTCGCTCAGCTCGTTTCTCTGAAAACTTCAGATCCAGACGTCCGACRACTCGAATCCTTCATCTGCTTCAAACACACAGTTAAAAACCACCAAGATGTGAAAAGTGTAAAACTGTAATAAACTGGATAAAAAGTCACTTTGACTCTTCTGACACATGCACGGAGGATATAGCGCCACCAACAGGCGACCACAGGAGAAGTGACCTCGATTAAAACTACAGATTTCTGCAGGTTTGAAAATACAGTGTCAAATTAATTTTTCAGATGATGAAGAGCAGCAGCAAAGTGAGGAGGTGCAGGGCGTGGACCTGGGAGACACAGATGGCAGTGAGGAGGATGACGATGATGCAGAGGAGGAAAGCGAGGTTGAAAGTGGATCGGAGGAGGAGTCCGGTCTGGATTCGGATTCAGATAGCGACAGTGGGCCGGATCTGGCCCGAGGTAAGGGCAACATCGAGACCAGCTCAGACGAAGACGACGATGACGGGGTGGACGCCATCCTGAGGAAAGAGGAAGAGGAGATCGAGCACGACTGGGGCGAACTGTGCAAAGATGCTCGGCGGAGCGATGAGGTAACGTCTCAGCCTGTTCGTCTTAAAGCTGAAACACATACACTCAAACATTAACTGTGTGTGTGTGTGTGCGTGTCAGGTTTCCACTCGACTCGCCGTCTGCAACATGGACTGGGACCGCATGAAGGCCAGAGACCTGCTGGCACTGTTCAACTCCTTCACACCACAGGGGGGCGCTGTGCTGTCTGTCAAGGTATTGAAACAGACTGTTTCTCCGTCGCTCACTTAGAACCACGAAGATTTGCATTATTGTTATAATTTTTATTGTTGGATTTCACTTCTGTCCGTTTGAACGTTCTGGATTTTTTTAATGAATAATCATTGATCAGAGTTCAGAGAATAATTCTTGATGCAAAGAACCAGACGTGTTTAGACGACTGATTTTTCTGAGTGTGTTTTGGTTTTGATCAGATAAAAGTCAGGATCTTGTGGTTGAACGTGGTTTCACATCAGGTTCAAGTCTTAATCGTCAGCATCGCTCTCACTTGAATCTGGTTCTGAGCGTCGTCATCACTAAAATATGTTTGTGGTGGATCTCGTCTCATCAGTATCATCAGCTGAGCTTTGATCCACATCATGTCAGCCGTTTACACCAATGAGCGTCTGTTTGTGAGTTCAAGATGGTGGACAGGTGTGAAAGAGAGATAAACAGCAGTGCATGCTGGGTGTTGTTGTCCAGATTTACCCGTCAGAGTTTGGGAAGGAGCGGCTGAAGGTGGAGGAGACTCAGGGACCGATGGAGCTGAAGGCTCTGCCTGAAGACTCAGAGGACGACACTGAGGAGGACAGGTCTCACATGCACACACATGCACACACGCAGACGCACACACATGCACACACACATGCACACACACATGCACACACACATGCACACACACACACACGTGTCGTCTTCCTCTGAATCTGACGAGTGCACGTGTGTCTCTCAGGGTTTACAGGGAGAAGATGCGTAACTACCAGTTCAAGCGTCTCAGATATTACTACGCCGTGGTGGAGTGTGACTCGGCCGAAACAGCCGCTAAGATCTACGAGGAGTGTGACGGCTTCGAGTACGAGAGCAGCTGCTCGGTGCTCGACCTCCGGTACGAGAACCTGGGAACTTCAAGAACCCCCCCCCCCCACCACCACCACCTCCACCACCACCATTTCAAGTGACTGACACTCAAACCTTTTTGTGACAGGTTTATTCCCGACGGCGTCGCGTTTGCTGAGGAGCCCAAAGACGTGGCGACGGACGTGAATCTGTTGGCGTACACGCCCAAACTGTTCAGCTCGTCTGCCACGGCCACCTCAAAGGTAAGATGGCTCCTGTGACGGCTTTCTGTAAATTGTAGCGTCGGCACGTGAGGCGTTCAGGTACACCTGTACTTCAGAAAACAACTGGTTACACTCCTGCTCCTCTAAACTGAGTCTCTGCATTCACACATCGGAGTCTGTGTCGGACCAATCAGGTGCAGCTGACGTGGGACGAGATGGACCACGATCGAGTGACCGCCTTCAACAGGAATTTCAACAAGGACGAGCTGCTGGAGATGGACTTCAACGCCTACCTGGCCTCCTCCAGCGAAGAAGAGGAGGACGAAGCTGGAGCGGTTGAGTTTGGAGAGCAGGCGAGCGGAGACAGCGGCGGCGAGGCCGAAGGTGAGAGATCTCATCGGGAATCTGTTTGTCTTCTATGATGAGAGGAAGCAGGACTGAGGGTTTGTTTTCACAGCTGAAGAGACAGAAGAGACGAGAGAGGTGGTGGAGAAAGAGAAGAAAACTCCGGAGGAAGAAGAGAGGAAGAAAAAGAAGAAGGGCGAGGATCAGATCTCTAAGTACAGAGAGCTGCTGAAAGGTATCCAGGACAAAGAGAAGAAGCTGCAGCACGACAAAGACATGGAGATGGAGATCACCTGGGTGCCAGGTACTTATTCATATATA